GAACAGCAACTTGGATGAGCAGTATAGCCCCTCAAACAAAGAGCACAGTCTTGTTCGATGTGAGAGGTGTCGCTATGGTTCTCGAACTTAATACAACTTCATGCTGCTATGCCATCGACAGCTTGCCATCTTGTCAAGAAACTGCGTTTCATTGCCCACAAGGCGTTAGTCTCATTCAAAGTGTCATCCAGATGCGTGTCTTCGAGAACAAAAAGGCGACTCCCTGCCAACCAAGCTTGCAAGATGCTTGTGTTTTCTATTTATCTTAGATTTAACTACCCAAACTGGACGCCGGAGCTTGAGGTACCAGAATATATCGATCTTTCTTTATAAATAGAACAATGGCATTCAAATGACCTCTACGATTGTATACAGAGGAGAGCCGTCATAGCTTACCCGGCGTTTGCCCATTATCACGACGTCAAGGGCTTAGGGCGGATCACTATCACAGTTTACTTACCAGTGATAGCATCGGACTGAAAATTAAAGGAGAAAGACAGACATGAATAATTTAGCCAGCATTCTGAGATTTTTGAGAAAACAGCCCTAATTCTTGTCGTTGACCTAGGTGATCGCCTTCTTGAGTCTTAATGGTCGGGCAGTTGGTGCTACCCTGGATCTCTAAGCGGAACGCAGCCGCTCATGTGCTGAAAACCATGGCTCCTCCAACAAAGATCGACTCCAATTGAGGAGATCGTGGCCTCATAGAGGGTATTTCGCCCAGATAGATGGTTACTGCTTGTAGATCATTAATATCAGCGCTTAATACAAGAAGCTTTTCGGGGTGAAGGAAAGCCAACACGAATGACCATCACGCTGAGAACGGGCGCTTCCATCGTGATGTGGGATACTGCAGATAGTGATATTCTAACAACGTTACACAGTGACTCTCTTCTCAAGTGACAATCTCAGAAGTACAGCGACTCATTGCAATAAAGTTACAAGCTTGACGTGGCGACAAGACCCTGCGAAACAACCACTCTCCGCATCTCCGCAGAGATCAATTGCAATCGATACAGATCAGCGCACGTGAAACAGGACTTGTAGATCTCGAAGCACGACTCGGCAAAACAATTGACATCGTGAACTCTGACTGTACGACGGACCCTTCATGATCCGCGGCTGATGATCAGCACCTTTCACGCATCCGGTTGGCCAGATGGTAGAACCGCATTCCAGAAGGCAATGGGCTTTGTTTACACAAAAGGTTAATCCAGGGCTGATGCTCTGGGCTTATCAAGAATTCGGGAGGCGAACTTGAATCTTGGAAACACATGGCGAGTAGAGTTTGATCTCAAGGTGATGGGGTAAGTACCTATCTCTTGGAAGCGATCTCAGCTGGAAGTTTGCTCCGTGAATGAGATAACTAAGCCGACTTCGGCGTGGAAATGATGGGGAAGTGAGACATCTCGATGCAGTTTGGGGTACCGCGACTTCCATGTGATACATAACACAGGCCAAGGTTCGTTGCCACGGTTTAAGATGACACAAAGAGGAGCATTGAGTCCTTGGTCAAATGGGAGACGAAGCAACCAACTTTCTCAAGAATACAGCATTTATGACAGAACAAAGAGACCAAGGTTTCAGTCTTCAAGCGGTGTGTATGAAGCAGCACCACAAGACAAAGAGATCCATGTAAGTCATCAAGATCTCAAGAACAACAAGTCATGTTATTTTTTCTCTTAAGGACCGAAAACTCAATTCTACCGAATTGCCAAAAGTGAGATGGCATGGAGAATAGCCCACGTGTAATTGGATAAATGCAAAGCTGGAACAAGATGCGGATATCACCTGAGGGCAAGGGGCACGGGATAAAAGAGCCGCAATTGATTCGACGGACCAGGATAATTTTAACTCAACAACATCAGGAGAGCGTGGCCTCAGCAGTTGGATAGGGACATGCAAAAACTCCAAGGGCTGGGGGATTTCGTGTTTCTTCGTGATATGAAATGGCGGAGGTTCAGTCAGATCCATGATGATTAGAGGGTCTCGTGTACTTTTAGCTCACGGCAGGGCTTCCGGAAAACAAGCATTGAACCAGGGCGGGCTGATGCGGTGAGTGCGGGGGATCAACGGGGGGAGCTGCACTGTAAAGCAAGGGACCTGAGCGGTCGGTGGCAGAAACAAGTGAAGCTTTGCTCTGCTTTGTTGCACTGCAGTGGAGAGCGAATGCAACGGCTCGTTGTGGGCTGCTGTGCGTGCTCAGATGGATGTTGTCTCTCAAGTTATCGCTTTCGGAAGCCGCTGGAGAAATCGAGCTAACGTTGGAGTACGCACGCACGCACGCACGCTACGGTATCGTATTGTGATGGAGGGTTGTCAAGTTGAGAAGGTTGAGTGGTTGTCTTGGATGTGACGGCATAAGAAAGTGTGTGTGCTGCGTGCCCGCATGAGATAACTCTGTAATGGAGGTGTCGCGTGGGGGGTTGAGTTTAACAAAGGAGACGTTCTATTGAACTTTCACGATAGCTTCAATTTCAGCTAAAGAGACATAATAACACGGAAATACCCCCATGCCAATTACACTGACTCACTTGCAAAGAAACAATCGTCGGAACTTTCTGAGACTTAATTCCAGTTCATCCTCAACGAAATCATGGCGTGGCTGCCGTGTAACACAGAACCTCAACAGTGCACGCATCTAGGGCTGCACCTGCAACCAACATCAGATCTCACAGCAGAGAAAGGGGGCGCCCTTGAGGCTCTGGTTTAGCGAGGGTGTGACGCCTGTGAGATAACGGACCTTGCGGGCCTGGCGATGGAGGGTTACAGCGTAACAGCCAGAAGTGTTGCCAGCAGTCTTTGAGAAAAGAGAAGAGACAAAGTCATGAGAATTCTTGTCTTTATTCTTGCTCGGACTGGTCGCCACAATGGCCACGAGTTTACGGGCCTTTTAGTGAGGACCTTGATTACACCTCTTTTGATGTTTTGTGCATGTCTAGTTCAGTTGGTCCTGATCTAACCAGTTGTCTAGACTTTTGACAATACAGTAGTTTCAGATTTTCAGTTCAGATGGAGTTTGGAATAGTCGGTGAGGACGGAACTGCAGGAACGTCAATCCCTAGCAGCGGGTCGATGTCCATTTTGTTTGTTTTCCAGGTTTCTTGCGATGGCTGTTTCTCACCGGGGCTCTGCGGCTTCGGGGCCCGGGCGGGAACACCAACAGAGCCCCCGGGCGGACGCGGACGCGGGTGGCGAGCCTGTATTCGAGGTCTTGGCTTGGATATGTACGGTGTTTTATTGCGCGGATTGGTCTTGGGATGAGATCATAAAGGCCTGGTCGATGATAGCCACATGAGGGACGATTGCTTGCATGTTGGTGTGATTGGAATTGTTGGACGTGGGGAGCTGATACTGCAATTAATCTGGGTACATCAATGAATCAAAGGGCATTGAGTCAAGTAACCAGTCTGTGTGAGCTCGAGAGTAAAGTACTGTATGTTCTGAGTCAGATGTGCAGCTGGGTGTTATCGTGGGCTTGAAAGATGACCTCAGCACAGTAATATCCTGACTCTTGCGACTCTCACACTGTCCATCTACTCCTGATATCCCATGCTAATGAAACCCCACCATGGTCCTGACGGTCTCCAAGACACCCCCACCAAGAGCTGGGCTGGACTAGGCTTGACAGAATGGATAAGACATGGCTCCCACGGCGAAACCGCTTTTGATGCTGGGGTAGACGGCAGAGACACTATCGCGAGCATCACGTTGGGAAGAGATTGAGCGCCCTGTTTGTGAATAACAAAGAGCAACTGCACTGCTCAGATACGAACGATGTGATGTGCGCTTGACGCGGCCCCTGAAAATGGGACCATCAATGAACATCATCATTGCCACCCACTTCAAGATCTGAGAGCATGCCCATTTTTGATTTTCAGGGTATGACAGGCGCCTGGGTTCGGTTCTGAGTTTACTGCGCTGGTGGGTGCCCGCTGCTAACGTTAGCTGGGCTGGGCTGGGCTGGGCTGGCAGACCCTTCTCTTTGTGTTCCAGGGGTCCTTTCTGCCTGCACTGCACTTTTGCCTCGGGAACTGGTGTCCGCGTCATGTCATTCAAAGGTGGCATGTGGGATGAGATGCTGAAAAACAACAAGTTTGGTAGAGAGAGATCAGCAATTTGGTGATTCTTTTAGTTGGACTTCTCAGCAAACATATGATGATTTTGAGGCCGTGGTAGGCAGCTGGACAATTGATAGCGAGGCTTAGGTCTTGGACTTGTTCAATAGTTTGTGGCGGCACTTCCAATGCGAGAATAGAGCAGAGCAGAGCAGAGCAGAGCAGAGTCTGATTGACAAGGGTCCGTTGCCCGTTGATTTGACTGAAATGTGAACTTGTGACCGCCGGCGTCGGACGCCAGCCATTTCCCGCTTCCATTCTCGTCTCGTCACCAAGAGAATGAATGGATGGATCAGAGACAATTCCATCCATCCATCCATGTATAGTACCTCTACTACCGAAAACAGACTATCCTGATACCGTAGCTACCACTGTTTAGTGAGGTGAGGTGCCTCTATCGCCCCGCCCGCTCTTTTGCTCTGGCCTCCCCCGTCTCTGCTGTTGCTAGACTAAAACCAAGGTCGCCCGCGCAGTCGGAGTCTCGTATCCATTCCCAACTGCTTTTCTCTACCAGACCAAAAGTTGACTTTCGTCACTAGCAAACCAAACCAAACCAAACCATCTTCACATTTTTTAATCTCTCCCTTCTACTTTTCTTCTTCTCCCCTTCCCACTAAAGCCCTTTAGTCTTCCTCCACCGAAACACCCTTCGTTCTACTCCAATTGCGGTCTTCTCATTGTCCTTACCCAAGGCAAATACTACTATTACTCACTTGTTTTTGTCCCCCCCTGCCCCTCCATTACAAGCACAGGACAGGCACAGGCACCGCGAGTGAGCGAGCGAGCGCAACGTAGGCCAAGTACGAACGAGCATCAACCCAGTCAAGTCCGCACGAGTCATCTATTCCCGAACCCTGGTCTTTTCTTTCTCCTCCCCTCATCATGGCCACGACAGACAAACCTCGGCGACGGTTTGTTCCAGAGCCCATTGAGACCACATTTTCAACCAGTCGATCAAGCAATAGATCGGATGAGAAAAAGACGCCTCGCACAATGAGACCTAATCCCGAACCTACACCCGAGCCCTCGCCTCGTTCTCCCTCGCCTGGTTTGAACGAGTTGCAGAAGAAGCATCAGCAGCGACCAAAGCGACGCTTCGCTCCTCAGTTGATCGAATCATCCCGTAGAAGCCGCAGAGTTGGAGATGCAGGACCTGCGACCAAACCTAGCGACAAGACCGACATTACCCCTTACACAAAGAACATTTACACCGCTACAAAACACCGCGGCAGACGACGAGATGATGCCCACGAATCCCCTTCCAATGGCCCCAGACGTCGCGAATCCGAGGACGAGAATGTCGTTCAGTTTTTGCTAGAGATTGCTGCGAAGGAGGCAGAGCGCCAGATGCAGGAGGCCGCTCTGGCCGCGTTCCCCAACAGTCATGTTCGTGAAGGAAACGTCGATCATTTTTACTTCCGTGAGAGTTCAGGAAGCGATCAATCTCCCGAGAGCACTTCTCCCATGCATGATCACCATGGCCAGCTCGTTAAACACCATCACAATGTGCGGCGGCAATCGTCCGACAGCAATCTCGGCTGGTGGCATAAACACATGCAGGAGCATGTCGAGGCCAAGCAGGAGCAGGAACAGCAGCAGAAGGACGAGGATGCTATGGCGATTGACGAGAAGCCTGGGGAGATGGACACCCTCGTTGAAGAACCTGCAGTGGAAGCACCAGCGGTTAGGAAAGACGAGGACGTTATGATGCGAACCGATACAGCAGACCTCGATGCAATGGATCTCGAACCTCCTCCAGATCCGATGTGGACCACCTCAAACACCCCTCGTGATAGTAGTAGCAAGCGGTCATCGATCGGTGTTAGTGGTCCGATTGGTGAGACGCATATGCCGCTGCTCGATACAGAATCTTATTTGACAGCCGAGCAACGCAGTAAGGCATCGTCCCCGGCACCTGCAGCATCCCGACACATTGGCGAATCTACGATGCCCTTCATCCCGTCGGCCCCGGCCGTTGGCTCTGCGGATGTTCCGTACGCCAAAGCTTCTCAAATACCCCCAGACACCGGCGGCTTTGCTGCCACGCGCAACCTCGCCCGACCCTTCGGATACCGACCTTTCGGACGCGGATCGCCTGCTCCCTCGTTCCAGAAGAGACGTCTGGGTGTCACACCGCCCATGCTCGGCAAAGATCTCGTCTTCCGGAGGTGTCCGTCTCCCAAGCAGACCAAGCTCGAGCCCGATCACCCATTCGCAGAACGCCATGCTGAAGAGAAGTTCCGGGATCTTTCGGGTCAGAATGGTCTTTGGAGAGGCTATTGCTTCAGATCAGACTCGAATGATAACTACCTAGTGCCAGCAGACCTGCATGCCCCACCGATGCTGGCCACGCCCAGACCGGCGGCCACTCCCGGTGACGCTTCAAAAATCAGCTCTCCACCATACACAGACGAGCCTGTCATGATCGGAGCAGCCAATGGCCAGGCCAACGGCATAGCGCAGCACCGGGCACGGGCCGGTCCCCCCAAGGGACTCCACATGCTGCATGGTATCAATGAGCGTCTGCAGAAGGAAAAGGCACATGCAGAGCTCGAAGATAAGATTGATCAGGAGTTTGATGATAGCTTTGTCACCCAAGTGTACAACTATCTATCGCTAGGCTATCCCGCTATGGCCCGCGCTTTTGATGGCGAGCTTTCACGGATCAGCTTGATGAGTATTGAGGACCTTGAGAGAGACGATGAGAAGCAACTCGCCCAAGGCCACCTCGTCGAATCAGAGGCCGACAAGCCTCGCGATCAGAGATGCCCTCGATGGCATGCTCTTCAATCCTATATTAAGGAGTGGGCTAGACAGCACCCCAACCTCGACAGCATGGACCCCGTTGGATGGGGTGTCCGAGAACGACGAGGCAGCTGGGCTGTCTAGGCTTCACGTTGCGATATCGTTTGCATTCACTGTTTTATCGCGCATTGTTTACAACTTTCGGTTTCAGAAGATGTTTATCGGTTACGATCACAACTATTTAAACCATGGACGGGCGTTTTGCTTTTACATCGTGGAACCTTTCTACGCATATTGTTCGAGTTTTTAAGAAGCATGACGGGACGAGGAAGTCCCCGGAGCGGGCTTTGCTGTATGGACCAAAGTAGAGGCGGATCAAGTTTTCCAATGCGTTTGTTTGCGATGCTCAGCGGTGGATGGCCTAGAAGGTGGTTCTACTAGATGACGGAAAGACCGGGGAAGAAAGACAAAAGCTACGAGAGGAGGACCCCAAATGAACTGGGTGATGACGGCATGCGAGACAGCATCGCTGTAGTGATTAGTGTGAGAGTTCAAGACTTGTTAAGTACCGCTACACGGATGTGTAGACAGAATGCATTTCAAACTCGGCCGAAGGGACCGAGAAAGTTTGCGTTGATGATAATTGAGGCTCACATGAGCGTAATTGAGTTAGCTGCTTTCGATCCTGTGAACTGCCATCACAACTTTGACTCATCTTTGCCACTCTCTTCAATAACTTTCCATTCTCGGCCATCGACATCAACCGTGTCACCCTCTTTCAATGCTTCGTTGCCCAGAATCTTCTCAATCGGCAATTCCGCATCTCCCATTCTAATAGTCCTCTTCCACCCGTCCTTCCACTCCCATCTCTCCAACGAGATATGCTCTCCAGCTCTGATCAGCCCCTGCGCATAACGTCCCAGTCTAACAACTGAGCCCCTCACTCCGTTCTTCTCATCCTCCGTTTGAAGCACAAGCGCTCTAACAGCTGGTTCACCAGGCACAGCTGTCGGCGTAGCATCATGCCATAACTCTTCGTACGCTGTGTCAATTCCAGTATCGGGGTTAACCATACTGCCCTTTTCAAGGGTAAGATCGTTTGGTTGAGGATACATGAAGCCGGCATCGGAGTCGAGAGTGCGGGATGAGATCCATTGGTGGAACGTTGAGTGGGAAGTCAGGTTGCCTTCAGGATCGGGGATTTTGGTAGACACTGTTGTACCGGCTATGGCCCAGTCAAGGCGAGAGAGAGGAAGGGACTCTAGGATTTGTTAATAGTGAATGAGAGAAAGGGAGAGGGGTGAGTACCATCTTGGCCAGTCCATGAGGGGTCGTTATCGGGGAGGAGAATGCGTAGATCGACGAAGCGCTTGAGGCGTGGAGATGTTACGACTATGGTGGATGTTGGCTCAGAGGCCTCATCTGGTAGCCAGCGGATGAACTTTCTTATTGAGATCGTGCCCATTGTAGCAGATGTTATGTATGAGTTGCAGTTGAGTAGGTTGAGTCAGTGTTGAGGGGTGGTTAACTATGCGGGGGCGGAATATGAGAGCGGAACGCCGATATCTATCCGCCCAAGGTTCCGCTAACTCAGCCCCCAGGGAGTAAGGAAATATCAGACCTTAATATAAGGCGATGGGATAAACTTAGTAAAGGGATATTAAACTTATCCTAATCTTATACTAAATGATCTAAGTCTTTTTATCATCCAAGATCGAAGTTCTGAGTTTTTCCTCCCCTAGACAGCGCTGCCTAGAACTATATCGAAAGAACGTCTGCAGTCATTAAGGCAAAGACCAATAACAAGCCATATATGCAGGGAGAATAGAAAACCACACAAGAAGAGGTTGGTAAACGTATCTGAGAGAACCTGACTTGTGACCAAGCAAAAAGGGCTCAGGCAGATCAGAATCACGCTTCTCACAAAGGAAATTATCCGCTTCGAAAGATCCTTCTTCTCAGCCCAGACTTCCAGAGAGAAGATAAGGAGCTGCAGAGGCATCAGAACTGCAGCAAAAATAAGTATATGTTTATCAAATATGGTAGATGTAAAGGGTTCGAGAGAAAGTCCTATTATGATAGTACGAAGAGTCAGATATGAGACGCAAAGTAGAACCAAGTATAGGCCAACACGCCCTTTGTTTCCCTTCGAAATTCGAATGAGAACAAAGGCCGTAGTTAGGGAAGCATGGGTGTAAAAGATCAGCAAGAACGCTAAGAGGACAGGAAATACATCTCCCGGGATGAAATTCTGGGCAAGCGAAATAGCAGAAGATACCAATAGGACGACATCGTGAATTGTGCGTTTCAGCGGCATGTCCCAAGTCATCTTGTCAAGCCATAGGTTGCAGACAACCCAGGAAAGCTGCAGCGCGGGCTGGAGCATGAATACCGAGGAAGTGATCACACTAAGGGGCGCGGTGATGCCTTGCGTCTCTGGTCTGTCGAGAACGAAGTAGACCGCGATCTCGATGTACGAGAGGGCTGCTAAGAAGAATACCCCTCGATACGCGGAGCTGTGGATGTGGCTCAGGTCTCTGGTGTCGTCTGAGTTAAGCACAGGAATCTCCTGGGGGTCGCTAGCCGGCTCGTTGCTCGTTGGTACCGTATAAAAGGCTTCTATTGCCAGGGCAGGGGGCGCAATGAGAAGGATAATAGGAAGAGCCTGGCCAAAAGTCCATTCGCTATCGTCTTGATTGCCTGGTATTCGGAGTTTAATGAGGCGCGCCGTAATCCAGATGATAGTAAATAACAACCAATAGACCTGCAAAAGGAGATCAGCGAAGTTCTTCGGATAATGCTTGTGTCGCAGCATACCTCAGCTAGGAGCGACGTGAAGAGATCAAGTTGGATACTTAAGACTGAGTAGATCCCGATCTGAATAGGAACAAAGAAGTAACCGCAGACACGACGGGATATAGATGCACTAGCAAATGCGTGATCCCATTCTCTTCCCATAGAGCCTGAATCATCTCTTCTGAGCTTATTACCCCTTTGTTCTAGACGAGATGCAGTTTCACGGAGCCCGCCTTCGAACCCCCTAAACGTCTTTGCAATACGAATAGCGAACCCCCAAACAAGAAGGATGATAAACTTGATAGCTGATTCAAAATTCACAGAATCTGCCTTTACCCCCTCCCTAAAATAGCAGATAGCAGGGCGGCCACCGTGATTGAGCCAAGGATCCTCATAAGCATAGCCGTTACTCTCGGGAAAGGTCATCGACAGTCCCACTGCCACGGATAGCATAACTTGGATTATACACATGGCCACTAGACGCCATGCACGCTTTGCAAGATTATTGGCGAGATGGTTGCGAAGAAATGACAAACTGGCCATGTGAGTTATTGAAGCAAGCCATGCCAGGTAGATCATGTATTGCCAATGATAAGCGACGATATCGCAGCCCACTGAGGCATATGCGCCGATGAGAATTGCTAATGATGTGAAGATCTGGACGTCGGCGAACATGAGGACGCACTGTAATGCATAATGGTATGAGTACATATGACTGATAGGATAGCACCAAACTCACAACGTTCAATGCTGTGCCAATCCTGGAATGTCGAGACGAAACAGATGTTGAATGGAGTTTAAGCCATGGGAGGCTTTGTAGGATTTCGTGGACTGAAATGTCGATCGAGTTTGGATACTGGGTAAAATCTTGCGTGCCCTCTTTTCGAAAAGGGTCTAATTTGGGATCGAAGACTTTGAGATAGTATCCGATGAGAACAATGGCCACCATCCACGCCGTAATGATGAAGGCTAGAGTTACCTCGTAGAAAGTTAGCCGTAAGCACTTTTATAAATGAGAGCGAGGCTTACGCCAATTCCTCCTATATCCCCATACGAGGGGATTTCTTTAGGGAAGTCTTTGCAGGTAGAACTGCATGTATCTGATAATTTGAACATAGGAACAAACTTGCATGATACCGCTGAATTGGGAGACTTGGGAGAGAAAACCAGAGGTTATGTATAAATCAGGCTGTGGGAGCTGACCTACACCATCAGAACTAGGCGGCTACTGAAAGCAGGCTCTGAGAATGAATGGATGAGAATGCATGGTGAGACGCCATGTTTCAAGTCCAAAAGAGGTCCAAAAGAACTGGTTGGTGAGATGTCGAAGCCTCGTTGGCACGTTTTGCAGATTCCGAGGAAAAACGACAAGAGACAAATTCTCGCAATACGACAGACCGAAAAAGTCGCACATAGGAGCCAGTCAGTCTTACCAGAGGCTTTCAATGATACTATATATCATGTTCTTACACAGCCCTGATCAAGTACTAACCAAGTGTCTGCCTGGGCAGACTCTATCCTTTTCAAGCAGGCTCCCGGGAGCCAAATAGGAAGAGAAGCCACCAGGGATGTTCTTGGCCTGTACCAAGCCACAATACAATTAGCTGTAGTGATTGGACGCTGATCCTCACTTCTTACAACTGCCATAATGCAAGTCAGCCTCACGCTTAAAAACGCCCAAGCTGAAAGACGAGACTAGCAGAACTGTGAAACATGCCAATTGTACCGTGCCTGGGACCGAAGGCACAGGTTACAGACAGTGGATATGTGGGAAGTATACTATTATGAGTCTATTTATGACCATTACCTCCTTTCTACTTGTCTAGAGGCCCCCCATGATGCCTGGTAGATGCCATATGACGTTGCTTAGACATTGATAACACCAGTACCAGCCTTCTCCTTGAGATAGTCACAAATACAATCCGCAGAGTCGGTGGTGTAATCGTAAGGAGGAACGAAATCCTTCTCCTGCGTAATCTGCGCCTCACTGTTCTCGAAAAGGTTGTCCTTCTCAATAGCGAATCCATCCTCCTTAGAGTCAAGGTTTGTGACAATAGGTCGCTTGACGTTAACAAAGGCAGTAGTCTCAACGAGGACTTGAGCACCCATGCGAGAGTTGACTCCAGATGTGGGAAGGTCTTCGTAGCAGCTGCTGTAAATATGCGCGGTTCCGAAACGAATGGAGGGGGCGCGGCTGTTGACGTTACTCCAGTAGTTGTGGTGATAAGTAACGTGGAGCTTGCCGGTATCTTGATCACCGTTGCTGTCGCTGTGGCCGATGAGACTGGCCTTCCAGTGGTCGGAGAACTTGTTCCATGAAAAGGTGAGGAAGTCGGAGCCGCGCTTGGCATCGAGGAGACCGTCGTAGAAGTCCTTGTCGCCGGCGATGCCCTCAGCAGAGAACTCGTTGTGGTCGATCCAAATATTGGTAGAGGTCTCGATGTCGATAAGATCCATTTCCTTGGGAGGATTCTTCATGGCGAGGTTGCGGATGATGACATTATCGGCCTTCTTGATGCGGAAGCCACTGTCAGTGAGACCAGAGCTTGAACCGACGCCGAGGATGGTGGTGTCGCTCTTGACGTTCATGATGTCGCAGCCGGTAAGCTGGCCGTCGATGTGAATGACACCGCCATTGGAGAAAGCAGAAGTGAGCTCTGAGCAAGACGTGACGGTGACGGGATCACCAGATCCTCCAGTGGTCTTTGCTCCGTATCCAACGAGCTCATCAACCTCAGCTGTACCGCAGCTACCGGAAGAAACCATAAAACCAGCAGGTTCGGAAGCTTGAGGGACAGGAGAAGCAGTAGCCAAGAAGGCAGGGATGAGAGAAATGAGTGCGGATCGCTTCATGGTGATAATAGGCGCAGCCTTAACGATAGACGGGTAAAGAATGTAAGTGTAATTAAAAAAGAATTTATTAACAAGGAAATTGAGATACCAAGATAGACACCATCAGACAGCAGCCCAGATATATATCATCCGATTAGACTTAAGATTAAGTCTAAAGATCAGGAGTCTCACTACTCTACTATGTTTGGCGGACGAGAGTATCACCGCCTGGGCGACGATGCCAAGCTGCTCATTACTCGTTTTTCGGGTCTGACGAGTGGAAACATTGGAGGCTGAGATATCTTGGCCGAGTGTTTCTGAGAACAAGCGAGCTTGGCTTGGTTTCAGGGCTGATTGAGTGTTTATTACCGGATGACAGCGGGCGGCTGCGGTCTCTAGAAATGTGTTAAGATCGACGTCTATAGCCGAAGCAGGTTTTCATGCCCCGTGGTTCTACAATCATACCATGGTATTCGCTCTGGTGTGGGTGGATATCTTGAGGTATCAGAGAGCTTGAGATGCTGGCACATTAAACTTATCAAAATGGTCTAAGTTTATACTAAACTATCTCAAACTATCCTAACTTATTTTAAGAAGCTATAAACTATCCTAAGATACTATGAACTTCTCAAAGTATCTTCACCTCGCTTTTGTCATGAAGCACACGAGAAGCACCCTCTATCATAGTATTTCTCTGTGCCCTGTGGATTATACGTGATCCCTAAGCCAGCAGGCCCAACGCTGAATGGATAACACTCAGTGTTGCTCTTGACATACGCGAAGCCCTGACAATCTGCCCGTTGGAGGCAGACGGCGGCGCAGTTGGCCAGACTTCCAACTGGTTTGATGACATAGTTCAAGAGACGAGCGCTTTGAGCTTGTTGGCCGCTTTGACCGGGGATACCACAGGTGACGTCGTCGCTTAGAGAGGCTGAGGGTACTGCACAATCCGTGGGCTCTGGCGTTGTCTGAGTCGTGGTTGGCTCCCTCGATGCGCTTGTTGCAGCTTGGGTGGAGGAATCCTCGCCAGCTGGCCGTGTCGAGGTGATCATGGTTGTTGGGGCCTCAGATACAGGCTGCGAAGAAGTGACTGCGTCACCACAGAGCGTGCAGCTCATACACTCCAAATTACTCCATACACCAGGTGCATTGGAGACTCCATCGATAGTTGGGTCTGAGCTGAACATACACCTCATCCCAGACCGGGTAGGGTCGATAGCAAAGGCCTTGCACGACCTATCGAGCTTGCAAATGATAGCGCAGTCTTCGAATGTGTCTTGGTTAGGGAAGTCAGCCAGACTACGGGCATATGGCTCAACATTGTGTGGCCAACCACGCTTGCCACATGTTGCTGTTGAAGGCACAACGTTTGCGGTGGAACAAATTCCAGGGGATGGAACGCCGTTGGCACACAGAGATGCTGTGGCGGAGGGAGATATAGAAGTTGTAGTTGGAACGACGGTCGATGAGTCCGCCTTGTCACTGGCTTCGCTTGCACTCGTGGTTGATTCAGCGTCAGAGGTGGTTGTGACAGCTGGATTGGTAGTCGTGGGCGCGGCAAGAGTCGAAGTTGTCTTATCCTCCGCAGCACATGTCCACTGAGGCATGTTCGTAGGGTCTTGACCAATAGATATGTAATCGAAGTAGGCATTTCCCTGTCCACAAGCATGGCAATCCATGTCCGTGAACCAGAAAAGATCACTACCGGCCTCGGCGACCTCAGAAGATCTAGCATCGTACAAGCTACAGCTGCCAAAGGTCGCTGCATAAGATTTACAAGAGGGGTACTTGGCACAAAGATCGCGGCATTCGTTACTAAGACCGCAGGCGCCGTTCGTTGGGGCAGTTAGGAAGGGCTTGGCACAAGCTTTCGCTTTGCCTTTGACTTGAGTGCAAGATTTGGCGGGTGTGTCAGCGTTGACATTTACGCATACAGAGCCAGCGGGTTGCTCGGCGCATTCGTCCTCCTGAATGCAGCTTCGATCGTAGGCCCAGGCTGAATCGGAGCCCCCGTTGGTGGGAATGTCTGCCCAGCTCGTAGCAAGGAGATTACATGTGTTGGCGCACCCGCTGCCAAAATAACGCCATTCGAAGCTTTGGCAGTTGGTATCTGAAAGGCAGAGAGCGGCACATTGTTCCTTTGTGATCTTGCTTCCGCCGTACCCTTTGTAGCCTTTGGTGCTGCTATAAGGCCTCTTGGCGCAGCCTCGACCAACTGCGCCTGTTCCGAGTTTGGCACAGAGCTTGGGGCCGGAGTTGGTAGGATCAGTAGGCACAGAAGTCGGGGCTGATTCAGAGGCGGAGGCGGAGGCGGAGGTAGACTCGACTGTCTTGTCAGTTGCCGAGGCTTCATCGGTAGTAGTTTGTTCTTGAGAAGCTTGACTTGTAGGAGGGCTAGAAGACTCGGTGTTGTCGCTGCTGATCGTAGCTGTGCCCACAGCAGGAGCGGTGCTTGTTTGAGCCGGAGCAATGGTAGCAGCATGCTTCGACGTAGGAAAGAACAATGAAATGCCATCAACCCATTCATCACCGATCTTGTTTGATACAAAGACTTGGTCAAAATAGACTTCAGCAGAGCCTCCGTTGATACAGTTGAGCTCAAAACGGATCATTCCGCTTGTAGTGGTGACAGGCATCGAGTCAACAAACTCCAACCAGTTGTTGCCATTAGTGACAATAGGAAAGTATGGAGTTGCTCCAAATTGAACGTTTCCGTAAAGTCCTTCGATACGGCATGTATCCGCGATAGCATTGTTCACGATAGAGTACCAGAAGCGAACAGTAAAGTCACTGGGCTCCAGATTGTCGAGCTGTTGTTGAATATAGGGATTATCGGGTATGAAATCTCGCTTTTGACCAGGAGTTCCCGAATTGGTCTTGAGTTGCACACAGTTCCTCTCGTCGGTGTGGTCTCCCTGATATCCTGGGCCTTGAAGGAGTTTCGCATCACCTGCTTGAAAGGCGTAGATACCGCCATCGGACGAAGGATCATAGCCTCCAAAGTCGCCATTCGTCACAGCATTAGTGATGACTACCGGTCCGTCGGTTGTTTCAGACGGTGGAACCGATTTCGTTGATGTTCCGCTGGCAATCGAAGCGGGATCCGTAGTCTTTGCTCCTTCTGGTGACGAGGGCTTACAATTGCTGGCAGCAACATGTTCGAAAGAACTTGCAAAAGCCAAAGCCACAAGCGCTGAGAAGGAACGCATCTTGAACGAGCGGATAAGCCAAGGCTAAAACGAGTGACTGAGTGAAAGCAGGTTATTAACCACCCACGCCACTTGAGAATAAGAGCGAGCCATGATATATAACAGTTCCGAAGGCGTCCGCCTCCCGCTGTCTCGTCCGTTCCCCTGACATGATGGGAAATTTCCGCAGTCTTGGTCTAGGTTCATCGCGTGGAATTTCTCGATAGTTCTCAGCTTTGGATCAATAGTTCCGATGGGGTTTCCTCTTTCGCCTATGCGCTGGGGCTGAATTAGGTTGGCCTACTGCGCTATTGAACGCCTAAGTTAGTGGCTTGTTTAGAGAGAAACGCTCAGGGAGCAAGAAAACATAAAACTTAGAAGAGGATGTTAAAATAAACTTAGTAAAAAGTCCCCTAAGCTTAGGCTGATTACCCTAAGTCTTTTCATCCCTTAGGATCGAGGTCCTGAGTCTTCTAATCTTCTTTCCTCCCCAGGAAACCTAGACCACAGAACGGGTCCTGTCATCTGCCGATCTCACGTGTATTTGTTGTGACGGACCATCCCGAATCCAGACTCCCGGGATTTTTCAGGGTCTAGTGGTATCAAGACCATGAGCATGCATGATCTTAGACTTTTGATGTATCTATTATTAAATTGAAGAGTTATTTATCATTCAGTAGAGTGATTATTTAAGGAAGAGAAAGTATCCCTTGTAATTCTTCCTAGTTCAATACATGCATAAGACGTCTTCAGGCTCCGAACTAATACGTCAAGTCAAGTTCACAGAGTTTCCCCCCCCGTAACTTAAAAGTCTGTCGTTAAGCGCGATGTCAAATGAAAGCCTAACTTGGCTATTTCGCTATTGAGTTTCCTGGAAAATGACAAAACTTTCTTTCATTTGACTATAAGTATCTGCTATGATCCTGATCAGTCTGCCGCATTTCTGCGACCGCAAAACACTCACTACCTGTTTGATCAAGGACGACCATCAAACAACAATGAACACGGCCTCTCCCTTAGAAAGGCTCCCAGGTGAGTTGCTGGTACATCTTATGTGCTCCTTTTATTCTCCGGTAGATCTTCGATCATTCATCTCATCGTCTCCGATTTTTCTCCAGTGGTTTCGTACATACCGCCAGTCTGTTCTAAAGCCCATAACCGAGCTTTTGAAAGCAGTATATCATAATGACGTATCCTTCATCTTTGACGCAATTCATGGGGTTCAGGCACGGCTGCAAGCCCATCGGTTTCCTTATTTGGATCCTTATAGAGTTGAGACAATAATGAATCGGCTGGCCGTGTCCAAGCCCATGAGCGAGAAAGAATGGGGTAGCAGTCTCCCATTTCTTTGTGAGCTATTCAAGCAGCGGCAAGATGCTGATGCTCTCATATCGGAATACGCTGTGGAGGCATGGAACAAGCTACTCGGCGAGGCCAGAGTCAGGACCCAACGCGATCCTTCCTTTACTTGGCTTCCAGAGTTTGATCAGCCTTTAATCCTCTCCCCAAGCGAAATCATTCGGTTTGAGCGCGGATTCTTTAGTTACGATGATGAACGACACGATATATACCATAACTTTAGACGCCTAGACGGAATCGTGCCGCCAGAAATGTCAAGACCTGCGTGGGACCATCGTCTCTCGGACCTTGAGGGGTATAAGGAAACACGATGGTGCTTCCGCTCATTTATATCAGTTTTCCAGTTCGTCTTTGGCAAATATCGCGACCTCGTGCATCGCGTCGATAGGGAGCTTCGTGGAAGAGAGGCCCTCGATGGTGGCATATCTCGTGGGGAAGATACTCGAGTTTGCCAGTTCCTTAAAAGGACAATGTATCAAGAGCACAGGTGCGTCATCTTCCTCTCTATACAAGGTTATGGCCTCCTACGAAATCTGCGGCATATGGATCAAGTCCATGTTAGGCACTTTATTCTGACTACGTTCCTTTGGGTCGTTTTACGCGATGCAAAGGGGTATTTGCCATTGAAATACACACTCATGCGTAACATCGATCAATATGGTTTGTTGACCGACACACCTCTCAGGCCGATACACGAGCCCTGGACCCGAGCAAGATACTTTTGGGATCGAGAGCGGATGGTGAAGATATACGGGGATCAACGGTAGGTTCGGTGCTTTTTGGGCTGTTGATGTTTAATAGTAGATGATCATGTCTGAAATGGATATTGCTTTCAAGTCGTTGGAGCCACCTCCAGGAGCAAGAAAACGTCGAACTCGTAATCAAGATGCCAGATAAAGGTTATTTTGAAGGTTCACTAATTTTTACTGAATTTTAATTTGCATTCATTTATGTCAGATTTACCTCAACTCTCCTCGTCCCTTGGGATCAACGTGAAAGACTGAGTCGGAACAGAGATCACAGCCAATTCCCATAAAGCCCTTCCAAGAACATCATGGACAATGCCGATCCACGGAAACGACTTCAATTTAGCCTTTGCTTCCTCCCATTTCGTTATCCTCAATAGCTCTGAAGCCTCGCGAAGTTCACCCAAGACAAGCGTATCGCAATTCCCATTCGTCAACGAAAGCCCATATACCAACACTACCCAGAACCACAATGGCCGATACTCCTCTCCCCTCTCCAGTAGTGCGTGGCTCTCGATATGCTCCTTAAGTAGTTTGTGTAAGAGGTTACAGTGTACACTCTTGAGATGGCTCGCAGGCCATGTGACGGTAACCAAGAACGCCAGCAAAGCCAGCTGCCACACATCATCCATCAGATCTTGTGGCCTCGTACCACTCAGTGGCGCAAAGTCTGCCAGTCTCTGCCACATCGAGATAAGCACATCCTGGTACTGCAAACCTGACATCTTTGCCTTTCCGGGTCTTCGGCACAGCGCCAGCAGTTCACGTGTGACCTGCCGTAACAATTCACTCATCTGATTTAATGGGTATCGCAGATCTCGTGCGGATATCGGCCCTGCCGCTGCTGCTGTAAGTCCCGCGTTACCGAAGCGTGTGCGTGTGCCCTGAGCGACGGCGAGTTCGATGTCTGTTCGGCAGATCTTGTGAAGGAGTGGGCGGTTGCACTCGCGTATGTCGGAGATGCCGCCGGGCCGGAAGGTGAGGATGCTATCAAGACCTTGGAGGTGCATAGCACTCGCAGTGAGGTTTTGGGTTATGTTTGAGTGGATTGCCAGAGATATTATTATAGCAATGTTGGAGTCTTCTTGAGCTGCAGACGGTTGGGAGAGGCGCGGGTTCATGAGACGAAGGGCTTGAGAGAAGTGACGAGTTGCTTCGATACTCTCTACATTGGGAGTTGGGATGTTCCGTAGGATGTTGAGATACGTCGCTGCCATGGCGAGAAGACAGTGCAGGCCTGCAACTCCAGTCAGTGGTAAACTAGCGAAAGCGGAGGACGAGAAAGTTACAGGCTTGGTCTGCTACCATGTACCTGAACCATGGTGAGCCAATCTCATGTGTAGGTCTACAGAAGGCGTACGGGTATATGATGTTGCAGATCGCAGTATGGACTGGAAGTGGTTAGTGAGCTGTTGTTGGAGAGTCAAGGCAAAATAAACTGACATTCGTAGACATAGTATCGCATCGACGGGGTGAACTGAACCGGAAATGAGAAGTACGTATACTCTTTTCCCGAGTATGGATTGTTGATGGAATATGTAGCGTCTGTGTCTGTATCTGGGATTTCTGGGAACAACAAGGCATTGCCAACATTATTGACAGCACCGTCGAGACTCTTCCTTCTCTCCTCCACGCTAACATTCCTCCTCGATAGTTCTGGGCTCTTGCGCAAGTTATTTACTTGAGATGCAGCATGCCTCTTCCCACGACCTTGTATTGTGCGGCCAAGATTCTTGCCCTTCATAACATGACTTCGTATCGTCTTGCGAGCACCAGGCTTCTGGGTAGAGTCATTGTCGATGAACTGGAACTTCATCGTCACGTGAGAACATCGCCGTCCAATTTGTATTCGATTCCTTTTGATCGCTTAGGGCCAAACACGATGAGAAGTTGGGAAAGCATTGGACGTGGAGGTGAGATTACGTCGTGGCGGGTAAACTCCGTAAACCCCGAGAGGGGCCACGGTCATGCTGGTCAATCCATCCCGAAGATGTTGGAGGCTCACAACCTGCGTAAGTAACAGCGAAGAAGGCATTACACAAGAGTTTTTCTTTATTGTCCCCGTACCAGTCATGCCTAAGCATAACATAAACCATTCCATCCACACAGACCTTCCTCTGTCTACCAAAAGCTTCTGCGACGCTGGAAGGTTAGCATCCCAAGTCTGCTTGTTTACTTACGCTTGGAAAGGGGCTCGCCATCCCTGATCTTGCGCTCACCCTCGGATTGAATCATTACTCCAAGCTGGGAGATAAGGATCCTTCGGGATCAAGCTGGCCCAGGTAAGAGCCTCACCTGCTGAGAGGTACGATCGTGGTCGTGATCGTGGCCGATACATCACGTGTGTATGTGGCTTCCCAGGCAGAAGTGTTACAGGTGGGCGAAACAGCGCTGCTTCAGGATGGCATTTGCCCATAGATCAAGGCAGAGACAAGCAGGATCAGTCTTCCACTCCCAGCAGCAGATCGAACACAATCCGGCTTTCTGAAAGCTTCATTCAAGTCCGTCTGTCTATCGCGAGGGGCGATGTAAATGCTCTGAAACCTCTCTCTAGGGAGATCATGTCACGTAAATCGTCCACCACCTTTCTGTGGCTGCACTGGAACAATTGTGACCCCTCCCAACGATCTTTAGGTATCCATCGACGTTCGGGGTGAGTGGTCGCCGACTCGCAATCGAACCGAGCGGGCCTCGACGATTCCCCACGCCATGGGGGTACGTCTCAACTTCAAGTTTACGATGTCAAGAGTGGAAAGGCGGCAACGGCCACCCACGATAAGTCGTGATACTCAACAAATATCAGGAAGAAAGCTTCACAAAGACTGTCCTCTCCACCTCAACCAGCCGTATGCCACCAGCTATCACCCGGTATCTCGGTCGAACAAGGCATCGATAAGGAGTTCGGTCGCTAAGCTG